CTATCCTATCCTATCCTTCCTATCTATCCTTCCTTCCTATCCTCTCCTATCATATCCTTTCTTCCTATTCTGTTCTATCCTATCCTTCTTTCTTATTCTATCCTATCGTTCCTTCCTATTCTATCCTATGTCCTATCCTACCTTCCTATTTTATCCATCCATCTTATTCTGGATGACTCAGCTTATTCTGGATGACTCGGCTTATTTTTAGATGACTGGGCTTAAAAAAGTCTAGATCTGGAGTCTGAAATTGAACTTCGTTCAATTTCCAAAGTCTAGTTATTATTATTATTATTATTATTTTTCTTTCTTTCCGCGTTTTCTCAGCAACTAGAGGGACTTTCTAAAATCTGCTAACATAGTCAACTAGGTAATGAGTTCTAGTTTCTGGGAAATTAGGTCAAATGTTTATCTAGGTCAAAGGTCAAGAACTAGGTCAAATCGTCTCTTTTTGCTATTTTACAAGTTTTCTCAGTCGTCCTTTGGTATTTTCGCTCCGGGTTTTTTTCATCATGTTCCTTAGAAAAAAAGCTAATTCCGTAAGGCAAACCGTTTTTTGATTACTCTTACCGATTTTGAGATATGGCGTCCGAAAAGTAGGTCAGAACATAAAAAATTCTCCAAATTCAACGTGTGAATTATCAAATAAGTGTAGAATTATCTCAGGAATCCGAATCTGCAAACAAAATTTTGATCCGACTTCCGGTTTGGAAGTTATAGCGTTTTGAAATCTCAAAAATCGCTAAATTTGGTGCCCATGTTAAGTCAATGGGAAAAAAGGCTTTTTCGAAGTGTAAAATACAAGATATAGACTGAGTTCAGCTTAACATATTGAATGCCTATAAAAGAAGGGGACCTCAAAAGCTACATAGCTTCGAAATTTGGACACCAGAATGCCTAGGTCAAAATCTAGGTCAAATTCATAGTTTTTCCTTATTTTTGCGATTCTGGCACTACTCTTTTAGGATTTGCTTCAAAATTTTGTATACAGGTAGCAAAGAGTGTGCTAATAGTGAGAGCCTTTTGCCGTCAGAAAGTATTTTGACCCACTTTTGAGATATGGTGTCCGTAAAGTAGGTCAAAATAAAAATTTCTCATAATTTAACTTATGAGTTATGAATTAAGGGTAGAATTTTCTCAGGAATCCGAATCTGCAAACCAAATTTCAATCCGACTTTTCGTTGGGAAGTTATGGCGTTTTGAAAGCTCAAAAATCGCTAATTTTGGTGCCCCATGTTATGTCAATGAGAAAAAAGATTTTTTTGAAGTGTAAAATACCAGATAAAGACTGAGTACAGCTTAAGATTCTGAAAGTCTATAAAAGAAGGGGACCTCGAAGGCTATCTAGCTTTAAAATTTGGACACCAAAATCCCTAGGTCAAAATCCAGGTCAAATACATAGTTTTTCCTTATTTTTGCGATTCTGGCACTACACTTTTAGGATTTGCTTCGAAATTTTGTATACAGGTAGCAAAGAGTGAGCTTATAGTGTTAGCCTTTGCCGTCAGAGAGTATTTTGACCCACTTTTGAGATATGGTGTCCGAAAAGTAGGTCAAAATAAAAAATTCTCCAAATTTTACATATGAGTTATGAATTAAGGGTAGAATTTTCTCAGGAGTCCGAATCTTTAAACCAAAATACAATCTAACTTCTGGTTAGATAGTTATAGCGGTTTTAAGTCTCGAAAAGTCGATATGATGATATCCCCATGTTAAGCCAATGGAGTCGAAGATAAAAAATGGAGAGTTGTCTAAATGTCTAAATTCTAGCTGACTCGATCAGCTTATTCTGGATGACTCAGCTTACAAGTATTCTGGATGACTCAGCTTAAAAAAAGAATTAAATCTGGAGTCTTAAATTGAACTTGTTCAATTTACATGTCTAGTTATTATTATTATTATTATTTTTCTTTCTTTGCCAGTTTTCTCAGCTACTAGAAGGACTTACTAAAATCTGCTAACATAATCAGCTGGGTAATGAGACTTAGTTTCTGGGAAATTAGGTCAAATGTTTATCTAGGTCAAAGGTCAAGAACTAGGTCAAATCGTGTGTTTTCACTATTTTACAAGTTTTCTCAGTCGTCCTTCGGTATTTTGGCTCCGGGTTTTTTTCATCATGTTCCTTAGAAAAAAAGCTAATTCCGTAAGGCAAATCGTTTTTTGATTACTCCTACCGATTTTGAGATATGGCGTCCGAAAAGTAGGTCAGAACATAAAAAGTTCTCCAAAGTCAACGTGTGAGTTATCAAATAAGTGTAGAATTATCTCAGGAATCCGAATCTGCAAACAAAAATCTGATCCGACATCCGGTTCGGAAGTTATAGCCTTTTGAAATCTCAAAAATCGCTAAATTTGGTGCCTATGTTAAGTCAATGGGAAAAAAGACTTTTTCGAAGTGTAAAATACAAGATGTAGACTGAGTACAGCTTAACATAATGAATGCTTATAAAACAAGGGGACCTCAAAAGCTACATAGCTTCAAAATTTGGACACCAAAATGCCTAGGTCAAAATCTAGGTCAAATTCATAGTTTTTCCTTATTTTTGCGATTCTGGCACTACACTTTTAGGATTTGCTTCAAAATTTTGTATACAGGTAGCAAAGAGTGTGCTAATAGTGTTAGCCTTTTGCCGTCAAAAAGTATTTTGACCCACTTTTGAGATATGGTGTCCGTAAAGTAGGTCAAAATAAAAATTTCTCATAATTTAACTTATGAGTTATGAATTAAGGGTAGAATTTTCTCAGGAATCCGAATCTGCAAACCAAATTTCAATCCGACTTTTCGTTGGGAAGTTATGGCGTTTTGAAAGCTCAAAAATCGCTAATTTTGGTGCCCCATGTTATGTCAATGAGAAAAAAGATTTTTTTGAAGTGTAAAATACCAGATAAAGACTGAGTACAGCTTAAGATTCTGAAAGTCTATAAAAGAAGGGGACCTCGAAGGCTATCTAGCTTTAAAATTTGGACACCAAAATCCCTAGGTCAAAATCTAGGTCAAATACATAGTTTTTCCTTATTTTTGCGATTCTGGCACTACACCTTTAGGATTTGCTTCAAAATTTTGTATACAGGTAGCAAAGAGTGGGCTTATAGTGTTAGCCTTTTGCCGTCAGAGAGTATTTTGACCCACTTTTGAGATATGGTGTCCGAAAAGTAGGTCAAAATAAAAGTTCTCCGAATTTAGCATATGAGTTATGAAATAAGGATAGAATTTTCTGAGGAATCTGAATCTGCAAACCAAATTTCGATCCGACTTTCTGTTTGAAAGTTATAGCGTTTTGAAAGCTCAAAAATTGCTAAATTTGGTGCCCCATGTTATGTCAATAGGGAAAAAGATTTTTTTGAAGTCTAAAAGACCAAATATAGACTGAGTACAGCTTAACATTCTGAAAGCCTTTAAAAGAAGGGGACTTCGAAGGCTATCTAGCTTTAAAATTTGGACACCAAAATGCCAAGGTCAAAATCTAGGGCAAATTCATAATTTTCCTTATTTTTGCGATTCTGACATTACACTTTAATGATTTGCTTCGAAATTTTGTATACAGGTAGCAAAGAGTGTGCTTATAGTGATAGCCTTTTGCCGTCAGAAAGTATTTTGACCCACTTTTGAGATATGGTGTCCAAAAAGTAGGTCAAAATAAAAAAATCTCCAAATTTAATGTATGAGTTATGAATTAAGGGTAGAATTTTCTCAGGAGTCCGAATCTTTAAACCAAAATACAATCTAACTTCTGGTTAGATAGTTATAGCGGTTTGAAGTCTCGAAAAGTCGATATGATGATATCCCCATGTTAAGCCAATGGAGTCGAAGATAAAAAATGGAGAGTTGTCTAAATGTCTAAATTCTAGCTGACTCGATCAGCTTATTCTGGATGACTCAGCTTACAAGTATTCTGGATGACTCAGCTTAAAAAAAGAATTAAATCTGGAGTCTTAAATTGAACTTGTTCAATTTACATGTCTAGTTATTATTATTCTTTCTTCCTCTTCCTCCTTCCCAGATTTCTCGCCAACTAGAAGAGCTTACTTTAAAGGGACTCATACAATTAGCTACGTTGACCAAAGTGTTTACATTTTCGGATTAGAAGGGTTTATTTGTTTTTAAGGGGTGTTTGCATTGAAGATTTCGTGCAGTACAAAATAATTCTCAGTTTTCCTTATAATGCTTGCGCTGCCCCGTTGTTTTCGTATTCCAAAATAACCAATATAATCACTATTGATAGCTGGATTTTTTTGTTGAATACCTTATTATGTTATCCTAAAGGTATTAAACTATGTATTGAACTGAATGAGAATGTATGTATTTTTACAAACCATTATGTATATGGACACTCTCTTACAATATGGTCTGGGAACATTGCTACCTTGAAATGTGTGGGGCAGATATCGGTCATTCCCAGGCTTGGTTTGGACAATGAAAATAACCCATCAGATAGGAATCGCATCAAGAGGAAAAAGCTGTATAAACGTTTCTGGTCATTGATGGAAAACTTAGGAGCGTGGCGAAGACCAGAATACGTCGCGAAGAAAAGGGCGATGACACCTGGACACAGGAATCATCCGAATGTAATTTTCCTAAGACAGATAATGCCTGATTGCATTACCGCAAAGGTACATCGACTTTTCGGATTATCATCTTTGGAAAATTCACATAATTTACACTAATAAAATAGATATGTTACGACAGATTTATACATTTATGTGTCTCTCAGATTATCGGCAAATGGACGTTCATCATTTTGGTACTGGTTAGAGGACCGCACATACACGTAACATGTAATAGAGGTATTTATTTTCCAGTTGGTGAGGACGAGCTACCCAAATGTGGAGGGGGTGCCATATCAAGGTCACAAATGGCAGTTAAGAACTGGGGATGCATATACAATATAAATAAACATTGACAAAGCTATAATTATTTATTTCTATTCAATTCAGAAAAGGTTTTGTTCATATTGTGAATAAAATATTGAAGTTGTATTATCAAAAATAAACATAAGACTCTGCTATTGTGCCTGTGAAACATATAACACTACATACAATTTTTGAATGTATTTCTGGGTACATAATATTGTATTTTTGTAATCTAAACCAGATACAAAGTACCCAGTCAAACAAACATATATATCACAGTTAATAAAAACATTTTTATCTATGTTCAACCTATTTATATATTTTCTCTGGACGTTTGTCTACGAATAAAAACAATTTATCTATGCTTCCAGGTAACTAATCCAAATCTTTTCCAAATACTGAAATGTTTTCTTTGATTGATATTTTCGCCCACTGTTTTCTCTTGGAGTTCCCTCGTTTTGAGGAACAACCGCTCTCTTGAATGGTCGATTAACATTTTCATTCCAATGCAAAATAAATAAATCAACCCTGACTTGAAATGACGTATCACCAAAGGAATGCCTTTTGGGCAGAAAAGAACGCAAAGCATTGTTTGCCGCTTCAACGTAACTTGTGCTAAGTCCTTCTAGTACGAGATGCGGATTTTTGTATATTGAAGTGTCATGGACAAATTTCGATAAGAGGTCAATTGCAATTGGATCAGTAAGTAGCACACGAGATGGGGCATATCTTGGGTTTCTTACACAATGGCTTGTAAGCCTGCAACTTTCGTGGTATCCTTGGTAATGTGACACGATCGCATCTAGACTGTCTCGTAGTAGAGTCTCATCATTTCCTGAGTGCATGATGGAGTACCATATGTGATTTTTAATTCCATCATATTTATCAAATAGCTGACCATGCCAACATATATTTTCAGTTTTCTTTGTCCCTTTCGAAATTTTTTTGAAAGATGACATAACATTTTTAATCACATGCCAAACGTCTTTTTGTTCCTTTACTTCTGGAAAATCGTCTTTTACGACCTTGCTCACGCTATTGTTAGAATCGTGCACGATGCAACGAACTTTTATTCCTTCCTGTTTGAAATCATTTAGAATTTCCTTTGTTGCAATCGTTTCATGTCGTTGGACAGAACTGTCATCGTGATTTGTTGATTTCACCTTATCTGCCAATACAGTATGCGTTTCGTTGCAAAGGCCAAATGTTATACTCCTCTTGGCATTGCGGAATGCAGAAAAACACGCATCGGTTTCCATGGTTATCCCAGACGCCCCACTGCCTGCTTAACTATTTTGTATCGCTCTTTCTTTAGACGCTTTGGCTTCGTTGGATATAATCGTAGATAAACGATTGCATGTTTCATTATAAACACGCTCGTTCGTGCTTCCTAATGTAGTAGCATTTAAAAATCTGGTGAATGGAGTATACATAAGTCCACTACAAACTACACCACAAGCCATTTTCTCGTTCACGAAAAATTTTGACCAACCTTCGATATAAGGGGATGACTTCCATAAAAATGTGTGCTTGCCATTTGAAATTGTGAATGTGGCCACAAAGTTCGCAAAATCTTCTAATCTAGTAACGATGGCAGTTCTACTAAAATGGCAGCGTTGACCCAGGCTGTACACGGCACCAACGAGCGAATTGATGGACGACTCACAAGTAACAAATAAGCGTTCACATTTACTTTGTTCCTTGGTAATGTTCACAAAACTGTTGTAGTGGAAATTGGCATCAGGAACAGCTTCATTACCAGTATCTGTGCATTTTACAGCCAGGGATAAGAAATAGTACATAACTTGCACAATCGTAGACAAATCTGGACGCTTTTTACGGAAGCCATTCCATTGCTCGTTGAAGTTGTCCTTCTCCTCCTTACTGTTGAATGAGAGTTCGATAAACTTCTTGAACTTTTTATTCTTTGCAGCCATACTGAAAAGAAACATATAACAACATATAGTTTAGATAATATTTACAGCGAGAACAAACAACTGCAATTGTGTTTTTTCGCTTTGCTCATTCGTAATAAAATGGATATCACTCAAAATGATCATACAATATTGCATTTTGGTCCTTCAATCGTATTGCTAGCTTATTTATAGGTTTCACTGAGTCACAAAAAGTAATTTGATATGACCCATCCCAGGGACAGATCCAGAAATCAAAAATGGAGAGGGGGCAATACAACTTAGCATCCCTAAATGCCCTAGAAATACCTAGAAATGCCCAATAATTGTGGCCCTAAAGCACTTTAGAGCTCAACATTTTTACCTCATCTTAGGGGGGGGGCTAACCCTTGCCCAGATCCGCCATTACATCATTTGATCTCAATGAAAGAATGCTGAGGAGTGAACCGAGCAAAACATAAATCAGTATTTGTAAACAACAGATAATAAGAGAATAATCAACAAAATTAAAACATTTAGATATCTTGAGCAGTTGTACAGTTCGCCACTCTGCAATACATATTGTACATATGCCAAGGATCAGTAAGTCGTACACATGTACTTATCATTACGTGAGCAATCATCCACAACACGTTGATATTTTATATGTATCGGCCTGATAAATAATGCAGTGGAAGTTTTCAATGTTTATCCAAAATATATACCCAACACTATATCAATACATAAAAATATACCTTACGAGTTACATCTTGAATAATTATTTGCAATATAAAATATGTTACTTACCTAGATTTGTAAACATGCGAATTTATATTTAGCACACTGTTTCGACCGTCCTCTCACACCTATCTGAACCAAACTTTGGTTGGCCCTATTTATAGTCCCCGAGTACGGACAATCGCGCACTCTATATAGATTACCACACACTTTAAGCTGCTTACATGATTAACTAGGGAATGTATCTGGGATGATGCGAAATTAGGTCAAATTTTTATCTAGGTCAAAGGTCAAGAACTAGGTCAAATCCAGTACTTTGTCACTTTTTTCAATTTTCTCGGTCGTCCTTCAATATTTTCAATCCGAGTTTTTTTCATTGTGTTCCTCATAAAAAAGTAGGGGAAAATAGGTCGATTTAGTTTTTTGATATCTCACACCGATTTCGAGATATCAGTGTCCGAAAACGAGGTCCAAAAAAAAGTTCTCCCAATTCAATGTCCACGCTACTGGTCTTGTAGGGAATTTTCTCAGGATTCCGAATCTGAAAACCAAATTTCGATTCGACTTCCGGTTCGGAAGTTATATCGTTTTGAAAGCTCAAAAATCGCTAAATTTGGTGCCCATGTTAAGTCAATGGGAAAAAAGATTTTTTTGAAGTGAAAAATACGAAATATAGACTGGGTTCAGCTAAATATAATGGAAGCTTTTAAAAGAAGGGGACCTCAAAAGCCACCTAGCTTAAAAATTTGGACAAAAAAATGCTTAGGTCAAAATCTAGGTCAAATTCAAAGTTTTTCCTTATTTTTGCGATTCTGACACTACACTTTAATTATATTCTTCGAAATTGTGTATACATGTAGCCAAGAGTCTGCTAATAGTGTTAGCCTTTTGCCGTCAGGAAGTATTTTGACCCACTTTTGAGATATGGTGTCCCAAAAGTAGGTCAAAATAGATAATTCTTCAAATTTAACGTATGAGTTATGAATTAGGGGTAGAATTTTATCAGGAATCCGAATCTGCAAACCAAATTTCGATCCGACTTCCGGTTCGGAAGTTATGGCGTGTCCGAAAAGTAGGTCAAAATAAAAATTCGCCAAATTTAACGTATGAGTTATGAATTAGGGGTAGAATTTTGTCAGGAATCCGAATCTTTAAATCAAATTTCTATCCGACTTCTGGTTCGGAAGTTATGGCGTTTTGAAATTTCAGAAAATCGATCTGATGTTATCCTGATAGAAAGTCAAGGAAAAAAGATTTTTTTAAAGTGTAAAATACGAGATATAGATTGAGTACAGCTTAAGATAATGAATTCCTATAAAAGAAGGGGACCTCAAAAGCTACCTAGTTTCAATATTTGGACACCAAAATGCCTAGGTCAAAATCTAGGTCAAATTCATAACTTTTCCTTATTTTTGCGATTCTGGCACTGCACTTTTAGGATTTGCTTCAAAATTTTGTATACAGGTAGCAAAGAGTGTGCTAATAGTGAGAGCCTTTTGCCGTCAGAAAGTATTTTGACCCACTTTTGAGATATGGTGTCCGAAAAGTAGGCCAAAGTTAAAAGTTTTCCAAATTTAACGTATGAGTTACGAATTAAGGGTAGAATTTTCTCAGAAATCTAGATCTGCAAACCAAATTTCGATCCGACTACTTGTTCTGAAGTTATGGCATTTTGAAATCTCAAAAATCGCTAAATTTGGTGCCCAATGTTAAATCAATGGGACCGAATAATTTTTTGAAGTATAAAAATACGAGATATAGAATGAGTACAGCTAAACATAATGAAAGCCCATAGAAGAAGGGGACCTCAAAAGCTACTTTCCTTCAAAGTTTGGACACCAAAATACCTATTTCAAAATCTAGGTCAAATTCATAGTTTTTTTTATTTTGCGATTCTGACACTACACTTCAATGATATTCTCCGAAATTTTGTAAACTTGTAGCAAAGGGTGTGCTAATAATGTTAACATTTTGCCGTCAATAAGTTTTTGACCCACTTTTGAGATATGGTGTCCGAAATGTAGGTCAAAATAAAAAGTTTTAGATTCTACGTCATTTTGAAGTTTGAAATTCGCACTTGCCAGTATTCACGATGCAGATTGATCAAATATACTTTCAAAAATTCCTGCATACCCTACTTTACCTCTCTACCTACTCAGCTACTTATTTGACTACTTACTCAATTACTTAATTAGTTATTACTTCCTTAGCAACTTACTCAGCTACTAACTCAGGTACTTACTCAGCTACTTACTCAGCTACCTACTCAGCTTTTTACTCAGTTACTTACTCAGCTACTTACTCAACTACTACTAAGGTACTTACTCAGCTAATTCCTCAGTTACTTACTCAGCTCTTTACTGATCTATCTAGGTCAAATAAATCTGGAGTCTTAAATTGAACTTGTTCAATTTCACAAATCTAGTTATTATTCTTTTTTCTTCCTCCTCACCAAATTTCTCGTCAACTATAACAGCTTACTTAATCCAACTTACATGGTTAACTAAAGACTGAAACCGGCTTTCTGGGAAATTAGGTCAAATTTTTATCTAGGTCAAAGGTCAAGAACTAGGTCAAATCTTACATTTTCAACATTCTTCATCATATCTTCGTCAATATTCCTCGTAACTCCTTCATCTTTTTTTCATCGTGTAGCTTAGAAAAAGGCGAATCAAAGATATGACATCAGAATTTTGATTACTCTTACCAATTTTGAGATACGGCGTCCGAAATGTAGGTCACGCCTAAACATGCTCCAAATCGAATGTGTGAGCTATGAAAAAGATGTAGAATTTTCTCAGGAATCCAAATCTGCAAACCAAATTTGAATCGGACTTCCGGTTCGGAAGTTATGGCGTTTTGAAAGCTCAAAAATCGCTAAATTTGGTGCCTATGTTAAGTCAATGGGAAAAAAGACTTTTTCGAAGTGTAAAATACAGGATATTGACTGAGTACAGCTTAACATAATGAATGCTTATAAAAGAAGGGGACCTCAAAAGCTACATAGCTTCAAAATTTGGACACCAAAATGCCTAGGTCAAAATCAAGGTCAAATTCATAGTTTTTCCTTATTTTTACGATTCTGACACTACACTTTAATAATTTACTTCAAAATTTTGTATACAGGTAGCAAAGAGTGTGCTAATAGTGTTAGCCTTTTGCCGTCAGAAAGTATTTTGACCCACTTTTGAGATATGGTGTCCGAAAAGTAGGTCAAAATAAAAAGTTCTCCAGATTCAACGTATGAGTTATGAATTAAGGGTAGAATCTTCTCAGGAATCCGAATCTACAAACCAAATCTCGATCAGACTACCGGTTCGGAAGTTATGGCGTGTCCAAAAAGTAGGTCAAAATAAAAAAATTCCAAATTTAACGTATGAGTTATGAATTAGAGGTAGAATTTTGTCAGGAATCCAAATCTGCAAACCAAATTACGATCCGACTTCCGGTTCGAAAGTTATGGGGTTTTGAAAGCTCAAAAATCGCTAAATTTGGTGCCCCATGTTATGTCAATGAGAAAAAGGATTTTTTGAAGTGTAAAATACCAGATAAAGACTGAGTACAGCTTAATATTCTGAAAGCCTATAAAAGGAGGGGACCTCGAAGGCTATCTAGCTTTAAAATTTGGACGCAAAAATGCCTTGGTCAAAATCTAGGTCAAATTCATAGTTTTTCCTTATTTTTGCGATTCTGACATTACACTTTAAGGATTTGCTTCAAAATTTTGTATACAGGTAGCAAAGAGTGTGCTTATAGTGTTAGCCTTCTGCCGTCAGAAAGTTTTTTGACCCACTTTTGAGATATGGTGTCCGAAATGTAGGTCAAAATAAGAAATTATCCAAATTTAACGTATGAGTTATGAA